GCTGATGCAAAAAGTTTTTGCATTCCAAGTAAACTGCGTGTAAAGCTTGTCGAAATCCCACAGAATAGGTCCCAAGGTCTTAAGCCACTGAACTCCCAACACAACATCACACCCACCCAAGGTTATAGCATAGAGATCATAAACAAAATAAAAATCTTGAATCCTGATATAAGCTTGGGATAATGTTCCTTGTGTAGCTACATTTCCCCAATCTGCTATTTTGACATTAAACACATACCCTTTATCCAAATAACCTTTGAGTCTACCCGAATCTATAAGGATGGTAACAGGGCAATTCTTAATATACCCAGAAACCTTCATGACGTTAATAGTAGGAGGTGCAGGGATTCCAAATAAAGCATAAGCCGTGATTTCAAGTTCTTCATTCTCCTATTCATCCTCAATACCCAACTTTGAATCTTGAACATCAATTAATAACAATTGCTTCCTTTCACAATTATTCCCCTTAACATATTTCTCTCTACAATGAAAACAAAGGCTATTTCTTCGACAATGATCTACCTCTTCAGGTGTTAGTCTCCTTACATTATTGGCTTTTGTTCACTTCTCATAGGATGAATTAGAATTGATAGTTTGCAAAAGAGATCGAAAATTGGGTTGAATTGAAAAAGTCTTGGAAAAAGATTTCACCTTAAGATTCGTTATCTTTGCATCCAATTGCTGAGCAAAAGTAGAAGCTTCAAGCACATCGCAGGGCTTCAAGATCTTAACATCATGTTGCAATTTTGGTTTGAGTCATCTCATAAAGCAAGATTTCATAAATGCAAGGATGATATCTCTTGTTCGATTGGCAAATCACCTGAATTCCATCATGAAATCACGTAGGGAACTCGTCTTTTTAAGATTGACCAAACCCTCTGCTGAATCGTCTAATTCTGAAAGGCCAAATTCTTGGCACAATACCTTTGTGAAATCATCCCAATTTGGGTAATTTTCCAAACACCTAGCCCATTGAAACCATTGAAGTGCATCACCTTCCTTCTTCACTTTCTTTGAATCTTCGATATTAAAGAAATCGAAGTAGTGCTCCACCTTGAAAACCCATCCCACAGGATCATCGGTGTCATTGAATCTTGGAAATTCCATTTTCAAGAATGGAGGGCGAGAGAACTGACTAAAATTTTGCCATAATTCTTGTTGACTGGAATGGAGATTCATCCTGTCACAGAGTTGGGAATCACTCTATGTAGTTTCGGATAATTCGCCCAATGACCCACCGTTTAATTCCGCCATGAGAGATTGTAATTGCTGCAATAACAAATCCTGGGTCAATTTGAAATTCGGCCGTGTTGATCGAAATTCATCCTGAGACTTCTTGAATTCGTCGCATTTCTCTTCCAGGCTTGAAACTCTTTATTCCATGGATTTACACAAAGCTTGCTGTGTCATACAACAGAGAATAATTAAGTGATCGAAACTGGCTGATACCAATGTTAAGACCTAGCTCGACATCTTCTATAATTGTACAGAGGAATACCAGATAGAATACAACACTCGATATTTCATTAACTCCCTAGCTTCTCTTACAAGCCAGTATTTGTAGTAGATTCTCCCTAACAACTTGTAGCTACTAACTAACTATTACATCCACAATGTACACTCGGCATAACAAGATGATGCCCACTATCAGCATCCTAACAAATGCACGGGATCGAGAATAGGTACTTTTGTATATGCCAAGAGCATTGTGTTGGATTTTCATATATGAAGTTTGAATTCATGTTTCACACATACATTTCTTACATAGTGTGATGTAATTTTCGAGTTTCAATTGAGAATTGGAGCCCTTGTTCAATCCAAACAAAGCAAAACTTGTTGTTAAGTCACAAATGATTGGTTTTCTTTAGTATCCGTTTAGAAACAAATGAAAAGGAAGAACTCGACTTTAACAGCAAGTCCCTGAAACCAAAGTAGAGAAAATTCTCCTGTAACCAAAGTAGAGAAAATTCTCTTGTTTAGTGAAAGGTCTTCTATCTCCTTGAGAGCGTTTCTCTCCGCTGTGTGAGAGTCTCAAAACTTCTAATTTCAGTTTCTCTCCCATTTGGTTCATATGTTTTTCCACACCCTAGTTGCTAATAACCCTAGCTGCAGCCTTGGTCGGTGGCAACCCCTGTGCCTCCTCCTTTTTCCTTTGGCTTGTTTTTTATATCATTTTTGGATGGTTCTTGTTTCTCTGATGTATCCCTATATAGATCTATGATATTTCCTCTTGGACTTCCCATTCTACCTATGCCTTTGACTAGACCTTGTAATTTCTTACACGACCCGTTAACTCGACATGAAAGGACATGAAAATAAGGGTTTCAAATCAACTTATTAACGAGCCTAGTTGTTATCGTGTAACTCAATAACATTTCGAATCATTATCGGGTCACCTATTAAGAACCTGATAAGATATCATTTGCCAGATCTAGACATTAGACAGATAATTTCTTGCATGACATATTAACCCGACATAACCCTGTAACGAATCAAGTCGTTATTAAGTCACATGTTAAGAACTCGTTAAGATAACGAGCTTAACACGACACAACCATTAAGATAACCGGTATAACTTGAAAACGACACGAACACGATAGACACAACTAGTTTACCATGCCTACCTTTGACATCCAGTTCAAAAGTGAACTTTCCATAAAAGAAGGTTTATTCATGCACATGAAGGTGCGAAGAACTTCAGTTTTGGTCCTTGCACCACCACCTTCCATTGCGACTGCTCTAATGGGATTGAATTCCTATGTGTTTGAGTTTCGATATGGAAGATCCTTGGGTGATGGGGTTTCGACTAGTAGTACGGCCTTCGTTAGAAAAGCATGCATTGTGGTGACCTTGGGGGTTCGCTGGCTGATTTACATGGGGTTACGATGGTGTGTCCTTCAGTTGGGTTTTTTGCTTTTTTTGTGTTTGTCTGCTTTAAGGTTGTATATGGGCCAAGGTTATGTTATTATTTTGCTTGGGTCTTTTGGAGGTGGGGCTGGCTTTTTTTTTTATATTTTTTATTTATATACTGAGAAGTCCAATTGAACCTGTCACATCCCGGCCCGGATCCCCATCACATCTCAGGCTCGACTCCACCATAGCACGATATTGTCTGCTTTGGGCCCTGACCACGCCCTCACGGTTTTGTTTCTAGGAACTCACACGAAAACTTCCCAGTGGGTCACCCATCCTGGGATTGCTCTCGTGCGAACTCGCTTAACTTTGGAATTCCGATGGAACTCGAAACTAGTAAGCTCCCAAAAGGCCTTGTACTAGGTAGAGATGGGAATACACATATAAGACTTACAGGATCCACTGTCTTGGGCGATGTAGGATGTTACAAAACCCATCTAGCAAAAATTTTATGGTGTATCAAAGAGATTTTGACTACTCAATAAAAAAGTTAACGATTAAAATATCAAAACATAAAAGGAAAAATTATATTTTGCACAATAAATTTTTTATAATTAAAAAAATACATTTATAAAGAATGCAGAATAAATTTTTTTTTAAATACTAATAACAATTATCAATATAAAATTATAGCCCAAACTATAAGAACGTAGCAAAAACAAAAAATTAGGTCAAAGTATCCACTGGGCGTGCGTTATAGCAATAAAAAAAAGCCCCCACATTGCCACAAAAATCAGCAGACAAGAAAAAACACCGAAAACACAAGAAATTTTTTATTGTGCTCGGAACACGATTAGTATATTACGTGTTCCTATAAGTGATGAAAGTTTTATTATTTAAGTTATTAATATTTTAATACAAGCATCTAACTACTTGTATAATGATACATAATGTATTATCCCGTATTCCGAACACACTAAAAATTCTCTTCGAAACCGGTTTCATGAGAACGGATTAGGATCCTAACTGGATCCTCTTTGTGAGGATTTAAAAGATCAATCAATCGTGTTCATTCATTGTACATCATGACCAAGAATTATTTTGAATTTTTTTTTATTGAAAATTGAACACAAACTGTATTTAATAAAAATTTATAGTACGATGTATAATAAACGAACACAATTAGTTGATCATCCAGATCCCTACAAAGAAAATTCAGATAAGATTGTCCTTCATGAAAGATTTTTTAGTGTGACCGTCACACGAGATGATACATCACATGTCCCTATATAAATAATGGTTTATGTGTAACTTAAAAATTAAAATTTTCCATCACTTACATAAAAACACGTGTTGTACTATCCATGTTTCTGTTATAACTAAAAATTTCTCTTCATTCACAAGAGCGTTTGCTTTAAAAACCCGAGAACCGATACTCGATAACAGAAACTGAGTTCAGTAATCAATTCATTTGCTGATGTTAGAAACGCTATTAATAAAGCTGTCCAAATGGACCTTGTCCATGGGGTGTTGCGCATTGCTCATGACTCATCAGTATTAATAACCAAGAAATATGCACACACAGAACTACAGAAACACCAAACAGACAATAAATATAAAAAAAAACCTGCAAAAATTAATTTGGATGAACGCTATACAGACAATAAAAAGTACTTAACTTGTTTTATATTAAGGGTTTATGTCCGTTTAATGCGCATGGTTATATAAAATTTTGTAGGCAGCTTAACTTCCTTTTTCAAAGCACAACCCTCATTTTACACTAATTGGAAAGGAAAAATGTTTAAACTCGGAAATTAGCGGATTTAAGAACAAGACTCTAACTACCAAAGCTTCTACAACTTACTTGTAGTTGGCTAACTTACATGAAACGAAAAGGCCAAAGTTGCTGCATCTCAAACCAATTATGTGACACTAAGTGTGAAACTGAAAACACATGGTTTTGTGTTATACGACGTGTCATCATAGCATTTTTGTGCAATAATAAAATACGTGTAATGCTACTACATACATACTACAATTCATACCTAATCATTGATTAATGTGCAATTCAAATGATGTGATTATTTATGATTAAATTATTACTTAATCATTAATTAACGTGTTTATCTTATTTTGATGACGCATCATTTAATTTACAAATTTTGTTTAAAATTTTAATCTCTCAATCCTATTTTCACCAATCCAGCTACCAAAAAGAAAAAAGAATTAAATGAGACTAATAATTAATTAATCACAAAATACTGGGTGAGCATGAATCAACAATTCCCAACCTTCTCGTCTTCCAGAAACACAACTCCGGGTCGAGCTTCTCCGCCGCCGTTCTCGCCGGCTCCGATTTACACCTCGTCAGTGTCAGCGGCCGACCCGACCCGACGAAATCCCAGTCTTTATCTTCGGTGCTCGCCGATTTCGCCATTCTCTCTCGAATTTCGCTCTCCAATTCCCTGAAAAATTCCAACTTTTTTTCGCTCTCCGATTCCAATCTCGATTCCTGACCGGAAATCGACTCCCCTTCTGACGTAGCTTTCTGTTGTGCCTCTGTTTCCTCGGCTCTCACCGGCGACCCCCAAAATCTGCTCGCCAGAGACGACGCCCTGTACGGCGCAGATCTGCATCGGGTTAACAGCAAAGCGTTCTTCGGCGGCGTTGAGGCAGAAGAAGAATAGATGAAAGCTTTGGCCTTTCTTTCGAATTCTTGGTCTTCTTGTTCTTCGATAAAATCTTCCCCATCTGAACAACCTTCAATTGGGTCTTCAAATTTCGATCCAATTTTTGGTGGGTACTCTTTGATTTCGCCTTTTCTGCACAAACCCAGTTGAAAAAAGGGTACCCATTTGGGCCAAACGGGTCGAAAAGACTTGGCCTTGATTTTCCCGGGAAAATGGCGGCAAAACAGGCCGTTTGAGATCCATTTGCACCTTCGTCGGCTCGGAGCTCCAGTGGCCCGTCTAGCTCCTCCGGTCCGCGAATCGCCTTTCTTAGATGACCGCCGGACTCGGACTTGCCCCATGCACGTGACTTTAGGAGAAGATGGCTCTTGGGTTTCGACAGCGGCTGCGGTGGCGTTCTTCCTCACGAACATTGGGCTCGAACGCAACCGGCCTCTGCTTCTGCTCCCGACGTTGGTCCTCAGAAACCTCACCAACGGCGGCGGGAACTTGTCCGTCCGCCCCGGACTCGATATGGGTTTTGCAGATAGCTTCATTTCCGTCCAACCCGAATAACAATCGGAATGAACGATTGACTTGATTTGCTTCCTCAGGCTTTTGAGATTCAGAAGAAAGAAAGCTGCTTTCTTTCTTTCTCTCTGGGGAATGGGTGACTGTGGAGAGCTCCGTGTGTTGGCTTCCGATTTCTTTTGTTTTTTTCTTTGAATTTTTTTTGTGTCTGAAATTTGGTATTTTAATCTTCCAACGGATGGGTGAATAGCGGCTCTATCTCTCTCGGTCAGTTTCTTTTTTTTTTTTTTTTTTCCTTCCAATTTATTAGTATTTTAACTGTTATTTTGTTGAAGCGTACGCGGTGCAGTGGGAGTGAAATATGGTGTGCATCTGTGCTCTGCATCTTGATGCAACGTGGACCGTTGGATCTTGATGTTGGGGTCGTCCACTAAAATGATTTTTGCTCAGCAAGACTATGGAATGGTGATTGATAATGATATGCCTATTTTTCAAGGCAGAAATCATTACCTATTAGATTTACGTGTGAAGGTTGGATTTTTGGTTGTAAGAACGCGTATGCAAAAGACAATAGTTAAAGCTCAACCAATAATTAGGTTGAATACAACTCTCCATTCAAATTCTATAGTGTTTCAAAGTATCTGTACTTCATCTTTTAAATTGATCCATTTTTGTGTTATTTGGAAAAAAAAGGTTGCTTTTTTTTATAAGAATCCTTTTATCCGTGTAAGTGATGCGCACATTTGTCCAAATTAGAGAGAATTTAGATGTAAAGCTCGAATTAGATTGAGATTGACAAGTTTAACCACAAAGTGTCACCACTTGAGTAAGTAATATTGATCTATGACAAAACCATATGGTGGATTTGTGCTATTTAACCTTTCCAATTAAAGATAAAGACAAACTTATGAATCAAAAACAATAACTCCAATATAGTAACCTTACAATGAAAACTCAAGAAAATTGCTCTTTTGAAATCAATAAATCCAATCACACGATGTTAAATAAGTTACAACACATGACTGGCTAGCAATACACGATAAACTTAAAATACCGCTATCTTAGAATTCCGATTGCATAAAGATTTATCTCCTTGATGGGGAATTATAATTATTGTGTCGAAAGCCGCCACTCCGACACTACTTTTTTTGCGAGACTCAAAATGTACACACAAAAAAGAATAATATTTGGCTATTCAAATAATGAGTAGGAGTTCATACTCAAAACTGTTCGTTGCCGATTCATAGAACTTCCTGTTTATGATCAGAACCGTTCATGTTATAAATCACTCAATAAAGATCACTTCTACAAAAAATCAATTAAAACTAAGGTCGTTTAGTCATCGAACTGTATAAAAACAGATGAACGGAATTGGTAAAAGGTATTTGCTACAATAGAATGATCAAACAACTTTAGTTTTATATTTATTTTATTTTTTACAAAGATGATTTTTACAGAGAGATTCGCAATATGAACGATTCTGATCATAAGCACAAAACTCTGTGATTCGAACACAAAGAGTTTTGGGTAGGAATTCCTACTCATCTTTAAGCAGTCAAAACATTTTTCCATAAAAAAATCATCTTTGATAGGAAAGGGAAAGGCAAACTCCCAACACGCCACTTAATGGCTCCACTACATTTCCTATCGATTCTCTCTCTGCGACAACCACCGCCACTAGAGTTTTCATTAGTCTCACACTACTTTTTTACTTTCCCATCTCTGCCACTACCCAGTTCACACCACCCTATAGTCTCATCAGGTGCAATACAGTAATTTCTGTGTGACTGGGTCTCCTAACAAAATAAAATTCATCCTGGGTTTCAAAAACAGGCATGGCAAGAAAGTCAATTGGGAATTTTGGGAATCACTTGGTAAATAATATAAGCATTTGAGAATTTAATATTACATGTGGCTGCAGAATGCAAGAAAAAGCAACTGCAAAGTTTTGAGACTGTTAACACAGGAAATGTAGGGTGCCACAATCTGTACTAATAACTATAGCATTTCATACAGCACAGGAAATGTAGGGCTGTTATGATTTAGATCGGTAGGGCCTATCGACGATAAAATTAGTGAATTAATACCTTCACGCATACCCCTATGCGACAAAAGATACTTACCGACAACGGGATTAAGTCTTATACGAGACAGTTTCATCATGCATTGTAACTGCAGGATTCGGAACCAATAGGTCGTTTCATCCCAACCATTGGTTTTGTGGACTCGCATCCCTCCATGTTGCAGTTCCATTCAATGCTCTGCTCTTGTCCAATGCATGTCTCGTTTTCGTCATCTGGGGAACAATGTTTTGTGTTAAGAGTGCTGAAGAAATATTTCATTGTCGAATAACCAAATAGAGCATGAAAATTTAACTAACGAAAATGGGCAAGGTCTTGAAAGGAAAATATGAATTCTTGCCTGAGATATTTCCAAGAGATAACTCAGTTAGGCGTCTAACACAGTCCTTCAATGTTTCAAGTTCAGTTTCTTTCTGTTGGAGTTTTGATTGGGCTGAATGCAGTTCAGATTCCAGCTCCACAATTTGGCCTTCCTGCTGTTCAATGAGCACATGGCATAATTTCTGATCTAGTTGAGCTGGCAATACTCCGTGGAACTGCTCAGTATCCACACCCTGTCCCTCTAGGTTATGAAACCCTTGAGCTGTAACTTCGGAGATAATGTCCTGAAATGGTATTTGAAGGGAAAAATCAGTTAGGCTGGCATAGCGTGAATGTCATCATCTAGGCATTTACAATAGCATATTCCATTTCATTCGTAGACCAACAAAACGAACAAAATTACAATCCTTAACTAATCGTAATATGGAGAGTTTGAACGTGAAGTTCACCATTTAAGCATTAACAATAACATTAGCCTTTTCACTTGTCGACCAACAAAAGGAGCAAAATAACAATCCTTATAATACAAAATGATCAAGTCATACACAGAGAGTATGATTGCCAAATTTTGCTACATCGAATTTGCTACTTAAAATCAAAGCAGTGATTAGTTTTGAAGATTGTGCAATCCAATAAGGATAAAGTTGTACTGTTCTTGGTAAATAACTCGGACAAAGTGTTGGTTCAGAATCCACTGTATTTAAATAAGGATGCAAAACCAGCATCCAAACATTTTCAAAACACTACTAAATTGTATAACCTACACTTGATCATCAAATGTTAGCTGTAGATTTTAGCACCAGCAAAAGGTACACCACAGTAAGGTAAATCAACCTATTTGAAGAATAATATAACGACCTTAAAAGACTGACCTGGCCCAGATTACTCAATCCATCATGGCAAGGAGTATCCATGGCACACCATGGAAGTTTTTGTAGTTCAGACTCGAGTTCTGCTTCCAATTGATCCATGTCCATAACCTCAGCATGTAGCTCCTGCTCTTCTGTAAGAACACTACTAGCACATTCACCATCCTCAGATACAGTAAAACTGGACATTTTCATACTACTGGGGCCTCTGTTTTCTGTACTTGACTTGTTGAGTTCTGGCTGAGTAAGCGTGCAACTAGTTGTATTGGCTTCACCTGCAGAGCCCGAAACTTGCAGATTGTGCGGTGATTTTCTTTGATGAAGCTCAGATTTTAACTCCTGCACAATTCTTGCAGTCTCATCCATAGCTGTATTCAGCTTATTGATCTCAGCTTTTCCAGCAGACATCATGTACATGATCCCAACATTAAGTCCCCAACCAAATAACGTTGAATCTGAATAGTATGAAACAAGAAGTAGCTTGAAATGTTAAACTCCTAGGATCACGAATATTATGTTTGTAAATTGTGACTCTAAAAAAAACAGACTAACAAAATCATCACAGGTTCATGCCCAAGGAAAAGCTTCTAGAAGACTACTACAAAAATGCTGATCAAAACTTGGATACCAATATTGTATTTAGAGGTTGTGTGGAGTTAAAATCGCAATATAAAGATCAAACGCTTTCAGGGTTTCCACTTTTAATTACAATTTCAAGAGCAAACTTCAAGGATCACTTGACAATTATGACCACCTAATCATTTGAATTTGGAAATTACTTCGGAATCAACTGTTAATATAAAATCCTATTTATCATTTGGCAACCACTTAAGCACCATCGGTAAGAATTCATATAAGGCTGCGGCAGCCAGCCTGCAGAACGTAACCTACTGGAACTTGTGCAATTAGCTTATCTGAACATGACAAACAGAATTGCAATAATATACAATCAGCATCACCGCCTTTTTGCAGGAAATACGAATATGTAACAAAACAGAACAAATCACCACATGAGAGATTTCGATATGTTTAGATAGGCTTTGTAGCAAAACAACAACTGTGGTCCACTGAATGCTTTCTCAAAAGCGATTAGATTTCAAATGAAAATTTTAAGGCTCATCAACGACATTCAACACTAATCCGATAACCGATATAAAAGGTCAGAGAACTCTACTTTTCCAATGTTGATTGTTGGGTAATGATGGTTGACATATGCTGTAAAGTATGACTTCAAAAACGATCAAACATAACAACAAAAACTTTCCAAGAGAGCTTTTCATAAAATCCCAGATTAAAATAAACCCAGAAAGCAATCCAGGGCCTACATTGTGCACACTGATGTTGAAATATCATAAACAATTGGGAATCTGGGACCTGACTATCAATAAATACTTCTTGCATGACTAATTAGATATAAATTCCGAAAAGTTAGAGACATATTCACAATTTTACATGATTCAGCAATCAGCAGCATCATAATTCATAATTTTCTATGATCAACGTCAAAACAGTAAAACCCTTTTTTCTTTTTGCCTTATGATTTTCTCAGCAACCAAACAAAAGCAAGAAAGAGAGGGAAAATCGCGAAGCTAACCTTTGGAAGAAGACGATCCACATTTGGTAGCAGCTACATTCTTCCCAGTCTTCCTCCTCTTCAAGCAAACACCAACACCTCTCCTAGCAGTCCTCCTCTGTTCTGCACCGTTAGATCTCTCAGCGTCAGCAGCAACCCCCTTCTTCTTTATCGAACCGGTTCTCTTCCTCAAACGGAACCGCGTCCCACTCCCGACGCGACCCGACGCCGCCTTGCTCGAAAACCTGAAGATCGTCCCTTCTCGCTGCTCCTCGAAGTCGCTGGTCTCCCACGGAAGCGGCTGAGACTGAAATGCCGACGCGACCGAGAAATTATAGGGGCCTGGGCAGGCAGTGTCCGCATTGTGATCGGCGGGCGGATCGGTATCGGCGGTGGGTTTGAAAAAGATGTGTTTCCCGGCGAGGAGCCCGGTGGAGGCCGCAACAGCTGCGGCGAATAATTGCCACATTGAAAAAGGCACTTCAGTCTTCACTGTGCCTCACACCGTCACTGGAACTGAAGAAATGGCAGCTCTCTCTCTCTCTCTCTCTCTCTCTGTGCAGGTGCAAGACATTGTAATTACCAATTTACCCAGCGTCGCACCTACCTCCACGAGGAGCGTTGCCCTGTCCGCTTTGGGACCTTTCTGGTACTCCACGTGCTTCCCGCTTTCACGGGCTGTCCGCTATCGAGGTTGGGAAAACAATTAATTTGAATTCCTTTTTTGAAAATTTTCAATCTATTCAAATTTCAATGTAGTCATTAGTCAGCACCAAGATGCCAAGGCGACTACCTATCTAAATTATATTTTATAAATTAAATAGTGTGGTTATTTATAATTTTATTATTTAAATGTTAATTAACATGTTTAAGTCAGATTGGTGACACATTACATGGTTTAAAAATGTGATCTAAAAAATTGGCCTATCTAGCATTACTCATTTCTTTTAACATTACTTAATTTCTTATTCCTCAAGTCTCATATTATACATATACACTTTTGTATAAGTACATGTCGTAAAAATTGAGTAAAACCAGTGTTCTAAAAAACACCCTAGGCGACGCCTTGGAACCGAGGTGATTTTGTGCAAAACGGCTGGAAAAATAGAGGTGGCTCTAGGTGGCCTAGGCGGCTGGGTGGTTTTTTTTTTTTTTTTTAGTGAAATTTGTTTAAAGTCTAAGTTCTAATTATACCTTGAAATTTTGTTAATTTTATAGAATATGTGTGTTGTGTATCAACTTAAATTCCGGGATGCTAAAGATAAGTATCTTACATTACTAAATTTCCTTAAATTTTTTTTCTTATTTTCCATTTTATGTTGTTTTAAATTGTGAACTTGTTGTACATGTGTCATCCTACAATACTCCTCACTATGGTTATATGGCATATATGCTTAATGTGTTTTTAAATTTTGGATTGGTTGGATACTCTTTTTTCATTTTATCATTCTTTTATTATCTTATCTATGAATTTCATACAAATATAATTTTTTGAAAGTTTCCTATACTAGTGATTGTGTCCATACAGACCTTTTAAGAGAAGGAATGCTTTTTTTTTTTTAAATGGAAATTAGTTGTGGAACTTAAGCTACATTGAACTTCAACGATCCGATTGGTTTAACGGAAATATGGCTGCCGATTGGTTCCTAGAGCATTCACAAATTCATGAACCATGCAACTGGAAAAGTGTGCTTAACAATTTACGCAACTTCTATTGAATCTTGTGTGCTCAACAAACATGCAAAAAATTGCCAGCACACAGTAACTCAGGACTTCAAGTATCACAACCTACTATATTTCCTAACGTAGAAGAGCAGTTTAAACTCCCAAACGATCCGTCTAACTGGCTTCTAGTAAGAGACACCGAGTAAAACATTTGTCAGTTGATTGAGTTTTTCTTAAACATGAAAGACACCGTCCTCCACGGCATGGCACAACGATGAAGTTTATCAGATGAAGGAACAAGGAAAAGTTTTCCGAGGAATTCGATCGGATGTCCGAGTTCCCAGTTGTATGAAGTTGAAAACAAAAATTACTGCAGTAGTGCTGATTAGTGAAATAGTGTAGTTGAGCCTACAAGTTACATGTAAAGCAACTAGATTATGATCTTTAGAGAACCATAAAGCATTCACAAATTCATGAGCCATGCAATTGCAAAAGTGTCCTGAACAATTTACGCAACTTCTATTGAATGTTGTGTGCTGAACAAACATTGTAAACAATTGTCAACATGCGGTAAGAATCTCAATCTATAACATTCCGTTCACAACGCACTCTCTTTTCTAATACAGAAGAGCAGTCTAAACTCCAAATGATCCGTCCGACTGGCTTCTAGTTTAATTATTTTTCGAATCAAGCAATACAAACGGAACAGTATCGCATCCATACAAGTAAAATCCGAATAATTGGACAGATATCTTGAGCAACTTACCTGGAAAAGAGAAAATAAGAGCATTTAATAATATAAATGTGAATACCAAAAGGTTTCAATTTTAACCACAACACAGAGACGCAGAGGAAACATTTGTAAAATGATGGAGAGTTCTGTAACACGAAGGGCAATTGTCTGCATGATCGAAAGGAAGTAACATAATATTGCTTTGTCATCCATGGCACAAGAAAGCAAAATTTAAACTACGGAATCGAGTGGATAGGGGACTCAACAACTTCCAATTTGCTAGTCTGTGATATATGTTACTTACTATGTAAGATACGCAAGTATATATTTATTAGGCATCAACAAAACCTAAAGTTTCTTCAACTTGGATTTTCTTTATCCAACTCTGTTAAATTGCTTGGAGCCAATCTTTGAACAGTAAACACATACACTCAATCCAAGTAAAGAATCCCCATTAAAGTTTAGAAAAGAGCATGAGAATGGGTGAAGTTGAAGCCCCATTACAGCGTACAAACTATATCGAACATCCTTGATTAAGCACAATTATAACTATGATCTCACGAGTTATGACAACGTGAACCATTTTCCTCAAGACAAAGACCTCCTTCAGGAAAAAGAAAACCAAAATACAGAGGACAAGAACGAAAAACTAAAGCTACAATATCTTGCAGTTATAAGTCTATATAGAGGTATAGAGAAACTTCCTCCGCCTATTGAAAAAAATACACTCTTCCCCCAACCCTACAATCCCATGAACAATTATAAATACTAAGTTACTAAGTCAACTGTGGGTGATAACTTTAAGCTCTAAATATGCAATTCATGTCAGCTTTGCAGCTAGACACCCTCTAAAGCTAAAGGGCTGAAGGGTGTTCTCTGAAGCTTATCTTTATAACCCCAACAGGGTCTTCTCTGAAGCTTATCTTTATAACCACATAGATAACGCATTCACTAAGTATTTTGTCACAATTTCTATGGGATTAGATTACAAATAATTATATTGTGTATCGTCATAACTTCCCTACCTAAACCCCTCCCCTAAACGGTTATGTTTCCAACTTCCTCAAAACTCTAGGAATATCCTTTGAAACTTACTTCGACTTAAATTAACACCAAAACCGACAAGGTTTGCACTTGAAAAATGGACAGCATAGCCTTCAAGCAACAAAGCCACAAAAATTCAAGCGCAGTCCATAGCAACAACAAAATGCTAGAAACCTATGAGCCCCTCTTCCCTAATGTACCCAAATCACTACTTGATCAACTAATCAATAAAAATGCAACACTCAATTAAGATAATGCAATGACATTCCGTTCAATCATAGCTCACCAAAACATATTCCAAACGAATATATCTAGCATCTCTAGCATAACTTCCATAGCTCAATTCAGGAACTAAAAAAGCACAGAAATGGTTACATCGCACATACCCGAATGAGCTTTCATCAATTCAGTTAATCTTGGCAGCCAGTTTGCTCCTCGCATCCCGCGCATTATCATACTCAAACCTCAACACATTGGGTATATGAGAAGTATCCTTGATATAAAAATACCTCCCAAACCAGCTCTCTTCGATCATCGGAAAGCTACGGTAAAGCACAGAGTTCACAACCCAGAACCACACCGCCCCCAGAAACACTCCAAAAGCCGATCCTGCAAACACCTGAGCCACCGTGTGGTAACCCAAATAAACCCTCGAATATATAGTCAGCAAAGCCAGAACCCATGGAAGAAAAACCACCGCCAACTTGTTATTGGTGTCCCAGAGCCCAATCCCCTTGTAAGTCAAGAGGGTGAAGTATGTAGCGAAGAAGAACATGTACTGCGAGTGACTCGACGGCCACCCGTGCGAATCGCACATCTCGAGTATAGCGCAGGTTTCCGGCCGAGCTTGCTGGAAGAAATCCTTGATGAGCTCGTTGATGATCTGGGAGATTACAAGGCCGACGAAGAAGAACATGCCCTGGAGTTCACGGCGGAAGAAGAAGTGGCAGAAGAAGCCGCCGAAGCTGATGAATACTGGGACGAGGGAAATCCAAGCGAGGAAGTGACCCAGTTGGTCGCCTCTCTGGTACTGGACGTAAGTCAGCGTCACGGCTTTGAGAGACGCCGAAACCATGGCGGAGACGCCGAGAGAGGAGGAGGATTCTGGGTTTTGGGTTGAATCCGAGGTTGTGGGAGTTGGGGATTGCGAATGGCGTCTCGCCGGCTCTGGTTTGTGAGGGAAAGGATTTTTGCGATGCGTTCGAGTGAATCTGTATCGTGTATGGAGAAAGTTGAAAAACACGTTGACGCGTGAAATTCATTTTTTATTTATTATTTTTTTTTTATAAGACGGTTGGGAAAGAACCGCCAAGAAATGTTGGGCTCTGTCGGGTGCAGATGGACTTGGTAGGGTAGAGACTGGAAGACCGAAGAGACTGCCCGTAATAGACCCTTGGACCCAGCCCATGAAAGTACCTAATACAAGGTCTTTTTATTTTCTTGTTACCAATTCACCATGTGACAAAAAAATTTCAAACGGGTGGTTCACTTTTTTAGCCCATAACATTAATCGACTGCACGCTAAATCACAACCAATTCACTTAGATTATAAATTGATTGCAAGAGACAATCTTTTTATTAAAAAAAATATATATTTAGACCCTTCATTTGGCAACCCATAATGGATCTGTGGCTGCATTTGGCAACCATTGAAAAGAAAATAAAAACATGGGCACCCGCGTGTGTTGGGTGAGTAAGTAGCAGTCGCACAAATAGCACTCAATTGGTGGGGTCAACATTTTCATTGAAATTTCCACTGAGCCCACTCCACTCCAATCTTTATAAAGTCCTCAAATGTAGGGATTTTATACAAACTTCGACAAGGCCTTTATACTATAGAGTCTTGTTTAGACGTCCATTGTGAGGCCTTGTTCCTCATGTAAAAGATCATACGGTGGTAGACCCTAAATATTGGGTACCATTGGAGATGCTCTTATTATAGTAGGGATCACAGAATCCGACATGCATAAACCCCTCACGAGGAGGGGCAATAGGAAGAGCAACCCATTGAATGGTGTAAGGATTGCAGATGTAGTAATCACGTTGATCTTCCGAGGTTGATGGCACAAAACTAAGGGGGAATGTAATTAATTTGGAGTTCAGATAATTTTAATAGATTTTTTTTAAGTGTCAGATTTTTAAGGATTTTAGTGGGTGTAATCAATTTGGATTTCAGAGGATTTTAAATGACATTTTTTAAGTGACAGATTTTAAAGGATTTTAATAGACTCACAATTCTATGTGAATTTTGGTAGATTTGTATAGATTTTGTATGGTGACAGATTTTAAAGGATTTTAATAGACTCACAATTCTATGTGAATTTTGGTAGATTTGTATAGATTTTGTATGGACTTCTTTCATGAATTTCTTAGGATTTTATTGACTCCTACAACATAAAATGAATTTCTTTCCCAAGGCACAATTTGAACCTCTATTTTGTATGTCTCGATTTATAGATCATCTTTGCAAAAATTCAATTCAATCCGAAACTATGTTCCCATTTAATTGTCACGATAAAAAATTTCACTGTTTATTAGAATATAGTGTTTGTCAATTTCTTTGAATCCTCATTCTCATCCACTTTCATTTCTTCCACATCTTCTTCCACTTTCATCCTCTTTTAAAATCCTAATTAACTACATCCTAGTTTTAAAATCTATTAGAATCCTATCAAATCCTAATTTGAATACTCCCATAATAATAAATAATTGGACTGAGGTCATGTTGGGTTTGGGTTGACATGGACGAGCAAAGCATCAACCCAACCTAACTAGCGTTTTACTTCATTCTAACCCTCTCGATCGGGTTTGAAACCGAGTTGGGAATGGACTGATTCGAGTTTCCAACCTAACTTGCACTCCTAGTAATAATAGGCACAAAAGACTCATGGGTATTTTTTATTTGGGAATTTTGCACGAGTACCACTTGAACTTAAAAACATGTGCGTGAATACCACCTGAACTTTCAATTGTAGGTTTTTACCACCTGAACTCTCTTAGTTGTTAGAATCTACCTACAGTTGTTTTCCATCCATTATTCTGTTAAAGCATGTCACTTGTGGGGGTAATCTTTGTCAATTAACTTTATAGGGCTTGTTAGAATAAAATAGCTCCTAAAAAAACTGTACAAGTCAATATGGCACCAAAATTGGAACCATAAGTCAAACCCCCAATTTTATAAAAAATTACTAGATTTTTACATAAATTCGTTGAGTATGCTATAGTTATGATTGCATAGTCCTAAAACATTTTAATGGCAAGCCAACTGATGAACAATGTTAGGCCTCCAACTGTGCAGATTAGGGGACAACTTGTGAACTAAAATTCTGGTTGCTACTCTTCTTAGAGAGGGTAAAATAATTGATGTGGTGGGGGAAATGATGACTATCCGGTGTTTTTCATGGCATGTAAAACTAGTTTCTTCATCATAACAATAGATTCATGATTTTTGTAATTCCATGAAATTTAAAAATATAAAGTTTAAAAACAACATAATTCACCCATAATAAACTTGTGCTTCATCAACTGTAACAAATAAGTTGTGGCAAATAGCCTTAACCTTGTACCAATAATTTATGGTCAACTTGTAAGACCTGCAATCATTACAAAAATTCCATCTCACATCTTCTTTGAATTCCTTGGAACTTGGAAAAGCCATCCCCAAATCAAACTCTATAGTTCAGATATCTGCTTCTCTTCTATATTGTTTAAACTTGGGTCGTTTCTTCTTCCTCCTATTCCTTCTCATTAGATCCGATTCTTCATCATCATATGAGTTTTCAAATAAGCTTCTAAGTTTTTCCGAGTTGTACTCATCAGACTCTGGTTCTTCTACTCCAGTTTGAGAATGTACCACTCCGTTGTACCCATCGGGTTGTGGTTCTTGATCATGCTACTCATAATCCAAATCAACAAATTTATCATCAGGCTCTTCCATTGCTTCCACTTCTTGTACATCCACATCCACCAAATTACTTTCTGAATTATATGGTTAAGTAGAACTTCCTCTGTATTTTGCACTCAGTACCTGATACTCTATAGCAATAATCAAGAGGTTCTCGGTATCCCAATGCTTTAGCAGTCATCAAAATCCACACCAGCACCAGAATATATCTTGTGCCATGATGTATTTTCAGCGATCCATAAGGCTGGGTGTATATTTTCCAATCAAATGACACAAGTTATTACAACGAAATAGTCTAAAAAAACTAAATAAAATGATTAAAATGAAATTCAAGTTTTGATATATTTGGCTATTGCAATTGGAGATTGCAACCTACGAAACTAGTTCAGAATGCAATCAGAGATTGCACTCAATGAAACTAGTACATATTGCAATTATAGTTTGCAAGCTATGAAAAGGAACTCAAATAAATTGCAGTTACTGATTACAATCCATGCCTTCATTTTAACCTTTAATAAATTTAACAGAAAATGAATTCAAATCACAACGAAATTCATCCATCTTTACTTGACACCAAAATAGATGCCAACAATCAACGTTTTCTTCAATTCTTCAACAACCCTTGCCAAAATCAAACATAGTTGTTTTCCTTTCTCTCCATGAAACCCTTTGTATCCTACTACAACAAAGATCCTCCCTCCGAATGCTACTTTCTCATTTTCCTTCGTATAAAGTGATTTTAAGAAATTTAAAAGGTTAATTGACAAAAAAGCCCACACAAGTGATATGTTTTTTCAACGAAAATGGATGGAAAGTAACGATAAATGGTAGATTCTAAAAATTAATAAAGTTAAGGTAGTAAAATTACAAAATTGAAAGTCTGGTATTTGCTCACGTGCTTTCAAGTTCATGCGGTAGTTGTGCAAAATTCTCTTTTTCTTTCACATCCGAACGATGACGTTTTGACCACGTCATCATCACCTTCTAAATACGATTCAAAACCCTCCTTTCGTACATTTCTCTGCTCCTAGGCTTTAAGCTAGTTTCGAAGCTCTCTTCTGCATCTCTAATGGCGGATGATAATACGGCTTCCCATAGAAGAGACCCTATCAAGTCCTCTGGTAAGTTCCTCTACACTATTGGGTTGCTTATAAAATTAGGGAAATGGATGGGAAAATCAAAATTTCAATGGAATTTATGTTGAATTCTGGATTGGGTCTCTGTGATTTGTGGGTTCGGTTCAATTCAGAGTTTGATTCTGTAATTTTTCCACCTTTTTTTCTTGTTATCCAAACGGAAAATCAAGCAATTAGATGTTAAGTAAGAACAAAGAGGGGATTACTTGAATTGGGTTCTGTTCTTTTGGGGGTCCTAAACCACTTAACAAGTAATTAGATACAAAAGTTTTCAACTTTTTATCATTGGCCTTGCAAGCGGACTACCTGTAATTTTTGTTAATTTTGTTGGAGCCTTATTGAGTTGTTATGTGTACAATGCTGATTGTGTGGAAAATTTAGTTGCTAATGTTGCCGGACAGCGAAGGCGGCAGCAAGCAGTTTCTGTAGGAAAGGAAAGAAGAGAATCGCTGGTGCGTGCGAAGCGCTTGTGCAGAGTAGGGATTAGCGGGGATAGTGATGATACGGTTGACAGTGAAATGATCATTGATGAAGAGCAATCTATCTTGGAGGCTCAAACTTCTTCAGCAGTGGAAGGGTTGAAGTCTGTGGTTGCATATCAGTATGTGAATCTAGTTCGTCTACACAAATACTGTGAGAATTTTAGAGGAACATCAGGCTCTATTTTGTGAAAACATAAGATATGAAAACAAATCTTCATCTAAAGATACGAAAACATGGAGCCGTTCAATGGTTTCTGCAGACCCATTTGACACCATTTTCGTTGTGTACTTTATAGGGGAAAAGGTGCATTGCAAAAGAGGGTGAGTGCCCTTCATGAACTCAGACGCTTACTGTCAAGATCAGAATTCCCTCCTGTTGAAGCTGCCCTTAAAGCTGGAGCAATACCTTTATTAGTGCAATGTCTTTCATTTGGCTCTCCAGATGAGCAGGTCCAGCCAATTTTTTGCATAATACGGTTTCTTTTGCTTTTGTAAATTCTAATTTGTATATCCAGCATAGACTGTTGATAAGTAGTGCTTTTATGGAACATTT